CTGGGCTCTGTCTGCCATCCCCTCCTTTGGCCTCTACCAGCCAGCTGCTTTGGCTTCCTCTTCCTGTTTCCCCACTAAAATATCTGAGAATCTACCCCTCCAAATGCACTCTTTCCTTCTGACTGAGCAGCATTTCCCTCTCAGTCAATAAAGGTCACTAGATCTTGAAGGGAGTGAGCATAAACACCAGAGTTGGAAGCCAAGCTCAGGTGCTTTTTACTAAACTGCTGTTCCTCCAGCATCCAATCCACTGTAGTGCCTAGTTCTATGCTGAGTGACACAGTTTTTAACCTTAAGTAAGTTTTAAGTTTATAAGAGATGGGCTGGAAAGATGGTCAGGGGTTAAGAGTGCTGGCTGCCCTCCCAGAGGACCCGGGTGCAATTTCTAACACCCACAGTCGTAACTGTAACTTCAGTTATAGTAGATCCAACACCTCACGCAGACAGACATGCAGGCAAAACACCAATGCGTGTATCAAAGGAAAGGTTGTGAAAGAACTAATTTTCAGCCTCAGACGCTATACATACTGGCTGGGCCAACTCCCTTTTGGTGCTGGTAAGCAAATCAATCTACCCAGGATCAGTGGTGCTTCCTTCTGAATAGACCCCCTGAGTTTGCAAGCTGTCATGTGGTGATTGGCAGGCTGAGCAGATGGGTTTGCCTAGCTTAATCCTCCCCCATTCTCCCTGAAATAAATGTGTTCTTCACAAAGACCTTTTGCAAGGCTTTACCTACCCTGACCCCCACTTAGAGTACAAAAGCACTTGTGATTGTTTTTGAGCTGGAGGGGAATACTGGTGAGGTGGACCACATTTCCAACACTACCTTCTGTCTTTGAGAATCTATGTCTTTACCTACTTCTACCCTGATTACCAGCAGGCCCGATGGAACTAGGGCGGGTCTGCCTACCTCAGAAGGCTGGAGGTTGATTGCTTCTTGGCCAGCATCAAGGCTGCTGCCCATCTTTTAGCAGTCATTGAAAACATGCCGCTTTAAAGGTGGACAGCGGTACTGGCCAAACAGCAGCGGAGAGGCGTGGCTGCTGCACATTAGCCCCACTTTCCATGTCTATGTTGCACAGGCCTGAAATTACCCTCTGGCAGGAGGATCCCAGTTCTCTTGGCCTGAGAAGGGGACTAGCTCCCTATTTGCCAAACACTATAGGCTGGGAACCGGACAAAGGTTCAGAAGGGGCCTAACGGGCCTGGGGCCAGCTCGCCCGCTTCGCTGTTCTCTTTGCATCCCGCTGCTGGCACTGGGCCCCTTCACTGGCAATGCAGCCTGGCACTGCCCGTGAGTGCTCTGTAGACTTCCATGCCACCCAAGATCCCAGAGTTGCCAGCAGCTGGTCACCTCTGCCTCTTCTCACAGACTGATTATGGACAAGTTAGTTGTCACAGCAAGCTCCCAGCGTGAGAATTAGCGAATAGCCTGGCATGGATTCTGTGAGAACAAAGTTCCTGGTGTGAGGTTACAGCTGGTGACTGCAGCTCGGACTGTCTGGTGGGATTTTGAGGACAGTAGCCCCTGATGACAGCATCAGTATGTTCTTTTGCCCATGCCAACCGTGCACTAGTGGACAAGATAACTGTTGTGGCAACTCTCAGCCTTTAAGGTACCAGCCCCTTCTGGGCAGGGTCTCGGGTGCTACTTTTGGACTGGGAGGTGAGCTCTCTTGGAAGCTGGCCCACACAGGCCTGGATAAAGGGAAGTCAGGTATTTGGGAATCAGTCATGAGTGACAAAGCAAGGTAGAGAGAACCGCCAAGGTCTTCTGCCCTTAGGCACTGCCATCTCTGAGACCACCACCCAAAAGAGAGCTCACCTCCCAGTCAGCACACACACACATAGCACCTGAGACTCTGAGCCGGTACCTCAAAGAGTACTGGCTAAAAGAGGTCCTCAATAAATAACGTCATGGTATCCCATGACACTAAACTCTCCTCCACAATAAATTCTTTTCTGGCTACCTGTCCCCTACCTTTCGGGTACTGGACAGCCTTCATTCAACTGTTGATCCCACCCTGGTCGGATGAAACTAACTTCCCACTCAGTCTTAAGGCAGGACCCTAAGAGTCACCTGAGCTGAGAGCTTGCCTGAAATGAAAACATGCCATCACCCCTGTGGCAACCTGCTTGTGGGCACAGGCTTATCCTCTTTACCTATTTCCTCACATCCTACTTCTCAATCTACCCTCCCCTGCGTTCTTCCTTTTCCTTTATCATTTAACCATTAGAAGAGGTTAAGTCCAGGTGTTGGAGGCCTGAGCAAAAATGTGCATAATTGCCTTGATTTCTCCCTGGTAGCTCACCCCATGTGACCTTTGATCTACTTTGAGGCCAGCCCAAATTAAACACTGGGAGTCTTGAGTACCCTCTGGCCATTCCCACTGACCAGGTTCCCATTAGTCAGCCATGTGGTGGGAATGAACACGTAGTTCCTAAGCCCTCAGAGTTTGGTGGGGCCTGCTAAGACATTGCACAATGTCAGTTCTGTTCCTTCCTCTGAAATGGGGAAGCCACCTGCACAGTCCAGGCCCTTAGCTCCATTGTAAACAAAGGATTTCCCCAGTGGCCACTGGACACCTGACATATTTAAGTGAACACAGAAGTTTTTTGTGAAGGTGTTTCGTGTGTGTATGGCTGTCCTGGAACTCGGGTTTGTAAAGCAGGCTGGCCTCAAACTCCTAGAGATCCACTTGCCTCTGCCTCCTTGAGTGCTGGGATTAAAGGTGTGCGCCACCACTGCCCAGCCACACAAAGGTTTCTTACTGTGTGACCTTGGACTGCAGACCACAGGCTGGATGCCTTTGCAGAAGATGACTGATCAACTATTATTATAGTACAATACAGTAATACCCAAAAGCTCAGTTCAGGCCTTGTGTGGGTGTGGCTGGTGTTCACTCTAGGGAAGGAGCTGGGCTTACAAAAGACATGAGGAAGTTACAAAATTTAAGAAATCCCCTCATATTTATGTCATCCTCCCTACCCCCAATTTTGTGTCCCCACTGTGCATCGATCTGTTTTTTGGAAGGACAGAACACAGACCTCACGAGGCCCCACCAGAGAACACCTTGGCTGCAGCAGGTATGGGGGCTGTGGGGAAGCCTGGAGATTGGGCTGTAAGGGAGGGCAAAGCCAAGGGCACCATGTCCTGCCAAATGGAGCACAGAATGAACATATGAAAGACATGGTGCTGGGAGCCAGGAGACTACAAAACACCTACTGGTGCACTAACCACAGGGCTGATTGATGTGTGAACCCTGGACCAGTTAGAGTCAGCTCTAATGACCTTCGTCTGGGCCTCCCTTCTTCCCCAACGGTGGTACCCCTGGCTGGCCTCGAATTCCTAGAGATCCTGGACTCTTGAGTGTTGGGATCAAAGTAGTAAACCACTGCGTCCAGTCAGCTGTCAGGTTCTTTACCGACAGGCTTAAGACTACAGGCACAAATTCTGGAGACTGCTACACGTGAAAGGCCACGTGAAGTGCCTCCGGCTCACGTGAGAACAGATGGCCTAGGCACAGCTGGCACCTGAATTCTGATTCTGAATGCTATCCGGTCCATTCCCTGGTCATGAACAACAACAGGGTAGCAAGAACCTATTGGGCAGCCCATGTTCCCACCAAGCTGGCTTGTGTTGACCCACAAGGTCCTGGAGACCTCGCCTGCAAAAAAAGAAAAAAAAAAAAAAACAGGGCAGGATATAGGTCAGGGTTAAAGATCAGACCGCAAGTCAAGGAGGCAAAAGCGGGAAGGGATCTGGTGTTGCTCTTCTCTGTGGAGCTGAGTCAAAAAGCCCAGGCAGCAGCCTTCTGCCTCTCCTTTGGCCTGTTCCGCTTACTTTGTTTCCGCCTCCCCTTCTGCTGCGCCCCTCCACTCTGTCCCCGCCCACTCCACCGCTTCCGCTCCTCTCCGCCCTTGACCTCCCCGCCCCCCTGCCCGTCTGCCTCACCCCCTCCTCTTTACGCTATTCCTAATCCCCTACCACGACTTTACCCCAACTCCAGTGCTGTCCCGCTTCCACCCCTTGTCCTCATCCGGTTCCGTCACTCCCTGCCTCTGCTCCTTTGCCCCGCCTCCTCCCCAATGACTGTCCCCTTCCTCCCGGCCCCGCCTCTTTCCCTCAGGTCCCTCCCCTTCCCCTCGGCCCTGCCTTCTCCGCTAAGGTCCCGCCCCTTCTTCTCGGCCCCGCCTCCTCCCCACAGGTCCCGCCCTCTTCCTCTCGGCCCCGCCTCCTCCCCACAGGTCCCGCCCCCTCCCTCCCGGCCCCGCCTCTTTCCATCAGGTCCCGCCCCCTTCCTCTCGGCCCTGCCTCCTCCGCTAAGGTCCCGCCCCCTTCCTCTCGGCCCCGCCTCTTCCCTCAGGTCCCGCCCCCTCCCTCTCGGCCCCGCCTCGCCTCCTCCCCTCAGGCCCCGCCCCATTCCTCTAGGCATTGCCTCCTCTCCTCAGGCCCCGCCCCTTCTTCTCGGCCCCGCCTCCTCCCCTCAGGTCCCGTCCCCTTCCTCTCGGCCCCGCCTCCTCCCCCTCAGGTCCCGCCCCCTCCCTCTCGGCTCTGCCTCCTCCGCTAAGGTCCCGCCCCTTCTTCTCGGCCCCGCCTCCTCCCCACAGGTCCCGCCCCCTCCCTCTCGGCCCTGCCTCCTCCGCTAAGGTCCCTCCCCCTTCCTCTCGGCCCCGCCTCCTCCCCTAAGGTTCCACCCCCTTCTCCTCGGCCCCGCCTCCTCCCCTAAGGTTCCGCCCCTTCCTCTCGGCCCCGCCTCCTCCCCCCTCAGGTCCCGCCCCCTTCCTCTCGGCCCCGCCTCCTCCCCTAAGGTTCCGCTTCCTTACTCCCGGCCCCGCCTCCCCTTGGCCTCGCCCCTCACTCTTAGGTCTCCCTCCCACAGCTCCTGATCCTGGTCCTACGAAAGGCAAATGAGAAGCCCGAGGTTTGCGTACCTGTCAGTATTTGCGGCTGCGCGTCCTTCCCCACGTGCTCCGCAGCGCATGCGTGTGGCTCGCGCTTGCGCACTGCCAGCCTCGGCGCTGTGCTGCTTGGTGTGCCGGACTCTGGACCGAGCGGCCATGGGTTGGCGGGCGGCTGGGTCAGTGAGGGCCAGGTAGCAGTGGGGCGGCAGGGACCGCTGGCTCGGCCCAGCATGTAGACGTCCACGCGGGCGCGCGGCAGCCGACGGTGAGTGCGGGGCCTTGGGTCGCCATCCGCCCGGTGTCACTTGCCGCCGGAGGCCCGTGGAGGCCGGGTCACCGCGCCGGCCCTGCCCACCCGCCCGGGGCTGGACGCTGGTGGCATTGACGCGCCTCTCCGCGTCCGAATGTGGTGTGGGCTGCGGCCAGATGACGCGCGGTCTCGGGGACGAGCCTGTGGGACAGATGTGAGGATCCGGCCGGGTCCCGGGAGAAGCCAGGGAGGCCGCAGTTCTGTTCCTGGCCCTGGCTAGTTCAGTGCACAGCACCTCTGCCGACTCCGCTGCACTGGTCTTCTGGGACCTCAGAGAGCAGGAGAGGGCTTGGCATGTAAAACTTCAGGAGCCAAAACTAGTGCAAAGTAGTGAGTTAAGCGTTTCGTAAACTGTCGGGATGCGGACTCTCCATAATCACATTTTAAACTTGCTATGCAGTACTTGACAGGAAATTCCAAAGCCCTGAAGAGTTCCTAGAGGCGACTGCCTCTTGTAAGTCAGATGCCACATTCACAGGCCACTGGTCTTGTGCTCTGGCAGCTTTCTTAATTGTGTGAATAGGGCGTGCCCATCGCAGTTACAGGGACTGTCCTGTTTGGCCAAAACCCGGCCTCTTTTACCAGCTCACCTCCCAAGCAATGGGCTTTCTCCTGGCTTTGATTCTGAATAGCAAATTATTTTTCTTGTTTGTTAACAGCCGCTGTTTCAGTCCAAAACTTAGTCCTTTGGCTTGGCTCTTGAGAATGCTTTTCAAAACTATATTCATTTATTTCATGTGCGGCTGCTGGCTTGCACAGGCCTGATGGTGGCGTCCTTGCCTTAGTAATTCAAGCGTCTTGCTGGATGGCACACTTCAAGAACATCGCTTCCCTCCCGACATTGCTCTTCCTCTCAACTGTCACTTCACTCTGACTTATGCAGCCCCATCTTGTGCCAATATATTGCCTGACCAGGTATCGTCATTTGGAGGTGGCATCCAAAATGTTTCTGCCTTCTCTCCTTTGTGGAGTTATTTATTAAAACTATTGTGAGGGCTACTGTTTTATTCGTTTTGTTTTGTCTGAGGTGCTACAGATCCTACCCTGATCCTCACACATGGTAAACAAATGCTGTCCCACTAATTTAGATAAGTGTTTAGATTAATTGCTTAGCACTCTGGGCTTCACTTGGAGAATGGAAAAAGCAAGTGGCTTTCTTTTACTTTTTAAAAGAAATGTATATTGGGGTGGCATGAACACACTGCTCCTCATACATGAAACAACCTTCAAGAGTTGGTTTCCTCCTTCTACCTTGTGGGTTCCGTGTATACAAACGCAAGGCATAGGGTTTGCCAGTAAGTGCCTTTACCTGCTGAGTTCTCTCTCTTACACTTTGTTTTTTACCAAATGGGTTTCTCATTCCTTGTGTAGCCAAGGATGACTGAACTTCTTGTCCTCTTATATGTATCTCTGCATGCTGGCGTTGCAGGCATGTACCAACACTATCCAGTTGGGCTTTCTCTTGTTTTAATGTGATGTTGGGGATCAAGCTGGGGTCTTGTGTGTGCTAGGCAAGCTGTATCAACTGAGCCACATTTCCAGGTGTCAGGTATTTTTGCCTTTTAAAGATTTTTTTATTTTGTACTTATGAGTATGCATGTGTGACTGAGTGGCTGTGTGCAGGTGCCTGGGAGCCTGGGACGGGGTGTGTCAGATCCCTTGGAGTTGGAGTTGTAGGTGGCTGTGAGCTGGGGAGGAAACTCAAGTTCTCTGGAGGAGCAGCAAGTGCCTTTAACTGCTAAGCTTACTATAAGGAAGTGGATTCACCTGCATCTTTATTACCTCAAATCTGCCTGCTTCCTGGTACAACAGCAAGAGAACATTCTGTGCAAAAATATTGTCACCACCAAGAGTGGCCTTGGGCGGACATGGCTGTGGCCTCAGGCTCCACTTTCTATGCTTTGTTAGATCTGTTAGCAGTTAGCATGGGCTCTAGGCCTCCTTAAGGAGGTGATGTCACTTTTCACCCCAAGGAAACCATGCTTGCTGTTTGTGATGGTTGCTTATCTTAGTCCATGTCCTGACCCATGGCTGCCATGCTCCTAGGGCTACTGCATGAGAACAAGTGAATTCGTGAAAAGTAATGTTCGGATTAAGACAGAGGCGGTACTAACAGATGCCAGTGCCATCCACTGTACAGTGTGAATGAATGCGTGCTACCACCCGGCCACCCAACCTCCTAGACCCGTCTTCCTGTCTGCACTGAGTTGGTGGAGCCTCAAGAACACCTCCTTCAGGTCTATGGGACTGTTCCACCACCAGATGGGCTCTGTGATTGCTTTCCTTAGAACTTTCCAGAAACAGCACACTTCCCCCGCCACTCTGCTAGCCTGGGTGTCATTTAGTTGTAGAAATGAGGTAGGTATTAGATAATCACTAAGGACCTGGGCAGTGTGGCTCACAGTAGTGATGCCAGCCTGGTGTCTCAAGAAACAATCGAACAAAAAGCATGAAACTCTTTTGGGTTATTTTTTGTTTGTTTTTTGTTTTTGTTTTGTTTTTTTTTTTTGTTTTTTGTTTTTTGTTTTTTTGCATCTTGGTTAACAAAGTTAAACATTTCCTTATTACTCTCTAATTTTCCTTTTTTGTTGTTGTTTTTTGTTTTTCTTTTTTTCTTTTGTAAAAGTCTGACTTTTGTAGTCCAGGCTGCAATCCTCCTACCTCTTCGTGCTGAGTGCTTGGGTAACAGGTGTGCACTACCACACCTGGCTTTACTTTTACTTACTTCTTCCACGTGTGTTTATTTGAAGTTCACAACTTATATGTATTATGTCCTATGCTGGCTATGTGTGTGTGTGTGTGTGTGTGTGGTGTGTGCGCTTGAGGCATACATGTATGTGCTTTGATTCCTGACTGTTTTATTGATATCTTGATGTCTTCTTGCTACTTTCATACGTTATTAAGAATCATGGTGATCCAGAGTCTTTTCCAGGCCAGCCAGGGCTGTATAGTGAGACCTTGTTTCAACAACAAAAACATTCCAATAGGTTTAGTCAGATGTACCCACCTCCACCATCTGCCTTAGCATCTATTGACCTTGCCTAGCAGTAGCTTTTACTTCACTTTCTAGACCTTGCTTGGAAGAGTCACCTAGAGGAAATTGGAGACAAAAAGCTGCAGCATTTAAAAAAAAAAAAAAGGAAGGAAGAAGGAAAAGTAAAAGGAATAATGGTTTAATCTGGACAGCCTGAATTCAATCCCTCAAGATAAAAGATAAGGGACCCTCAAGATATAAGGAGAGAACAGATTTACAAGTTGTCCTCTGGCCTCCACATAAAGAGCCTAGCATAAGAGCTTGTGTGCAAAAGGTCGTAAATAAATAAATGTGTCTCTTAAAACTTATTTTTTAAAAACAGGTTCTCTCTGTGTAGCTCTGGGTTTCCTTGAACTCACTGTGTATACTAGCTAGGCCTAGCTTTAGTTAGTTGTTTTTTGAGGCATGGTTTCTGTGTTTAGCTCTGGCTGTACTGGAACTCTGTAGATCAGACTGGCTTCCATCTTGGAGATCTGCCAGTCTGCCTCCTAACTGCTGGGATTGAAGGTATGAGCCACCTCTGCCTAGCTCTTTATTTTGTTTTCTTTCTTTCTTTCTTTCTTTTTTTTTTTTTTTTTTGTTTGTTTGTTTGTTTGTTTGTTTTTGTTTTTCCATGACAGGAGTTCTCTGGCTGTTCTGGAACTTGCTTTGTGGACCAGTCTGACCTCAAACTCACAGAGATCTACCTGCCTTTGCCTCCAGGGTGCTGGGATTAAAGGCTTAAAAGCAGGCACCACTACTCCCTGCCCTGGCTTTTTTTTTTTTTTTTTTTTTTTTTTTGAATGGGGTTTCACTATGTAGCCTTGATTGGTCTGCAACTCACTATGTAGACCAGGTTGTCCGTGAACTCACAGAGAGCCACTTGGCTCTGCCTCCCAAGTGATGGAACTAAAGGCATGCGCTGCCGCCACCACCACCACCCATCTGTCTTTGTTTTTTCTAAAGGCTCCAACAAGAGATTGGAACCTGAGAGCCCAGATAGTGGCCACTCTCTCTCATTTTGGAAAACTAGCAGTCCAAACAAGTGGATACAAAACAGGGTGATACCATCTTCTCTTGATGATTCTTTCTCTTCACTTTGATGCTGGCCATGGTCTTGGGTCTTAGTCTCCTCCCCTGTGAAATGTTCCCACAATTCACCCACAGAATGTGTTTGCATGGCAGGATGGTCTTGTATCCTACCGTCTACATATTTGTCCATCTCTGTCTCCAGGAAACACAAAGCTAGGGCCTGTGAGACCCAACAGTCCATATTGTCCAGCTGCTTAGATAAAGGCCAAGTGCAGAACATACCAGAGTCTGTCTAACCTCATGACCAGAACAAGGCTGTGCATGAGCCCTGTCACATTCTGTTGGTGGTGTACTCAGAATCACTGTAGGGTCTTTTCAGCCCTAACTTCAGACATGCCTGTGGCACCCAGTATGTCTGATGTGCTATCATCCCACACCTGGTCATCAGCTCCATGATGATGGGGTGAATTTGGGCTTTCACACTAGAGCAGAACAGACAGGGGGACCCAGGCTCCTTCAGCGGATCTGGGCTGCTGCCCACCACATCCAGAGCAGGGCCCAGGGAACCTTGAATGCCAATGTAGACACCTGACCCTAGCACACAATCTTTTTGTGACAGTTGACATTTTGACAAACCACCCACTCTGCCCAGTAATGACCTGACAAGGCACTGTGAGGAAGGCCAGCACAGGGCACAGACACTCCCAAGGGGAGATGGGCAAGAGGACAGGAAGACCACAAGGTCAGAGACTGCCCAGATCACAGGTGAGACCCTGCTTTGTTTTTTAAAAAAAGGCCAGTCTGTGATGGTGCACACCTTTAATCCCAGCACTTGGAAGCCAGAAGCAAACCAAATGGATCTCTTAGTTCAAGACCAACCTGGTCTACAGAGTGAGTTCCAGGGCAACCAGGGCTAAACAGAAAAACCTTGTCTCAAAAAAACCAAAAATGGAAAAAATATACACATACAAACACCAGGTTGGGAGTACAGCTCAGTGGTAGAGTACTCCATAGCAAGTGTAAGACCTTGGGTCTAATTCCTAACAAAACACAGAATAGGGCCTGGAGAGATGTCTCAGAGGTTAAGAGCACTGGCTGCTTTTCCAGAGGTCCTGAGTTCAATTCCCAGGAACCACATGGTGGCTCACATCCATCTATCATGAGATCTGGTGCCCTCTTCAAGCCTACGGGCATTCAAGCAGGCAGAATGCTATATACATAATAAATCAATCTTTTTTTTTTTTTTTTTTTTTTACAAAAAGGAAGTAGTTTAGTTTTCAGTCTTTTGACTGGCAATCCAACTGTTTAACACTGCTTGAAGAGTTCTCTCCTTGTTGAATCGCCTCAACACCTTTGTGAAGACCCATTGACTAGGCTAGGGTGAAGCACAGAGGGAGAGCATGTGCACTCAAAACAACACACAAGTGGTGGTTGGGGTCTGTTTCTGGACTGTCTGTCCTGCTGTTTAATACTGGAATTGAGCAAACTGACTTGTGTTAGGTAGGTAAGCACGCTACCATTGGGCTGTATCCTTCCTAATCCCATGTATACTTTTGCTGCCCAGGCTAGCTGTGAACCTGTCATCATTCTACCTCTGCCTCTCAAGTAGCTAGGACTACAGGCCTGTGCTAACAGCCCTGGCCCGTTTCTTTGCTGCATAGACCTAGCTGGCCTCAGGTTTGCAGTGGCCTTCTGCTTCTGTCTCCCAAATGCTTATTCTGATTTATATGATTAAGGTAGGAGGCATAGACAATGTCTGGCTTGTTTGTTTTGTTTTGTTTTATAAATCCCCTCTGGTGATTATAAAGTGTAGCTGGGGTGAGAACCATACCTATTCCTTTACCTTTGACCTTAGCACGGGCTCCATCGGTTTGTCCATAGTCAATGAACTTTTCTTCTGCTTTTCCTACCCTGGTTACACGTCTTAGTTTGGACTACTATAACAAAGCAGCAGAGACAGGGTGATTCAGGGGAGTAGATTTATGCTCTCACAGTCGTTGAGGCTGAAGTCCAAGATTGTCAGGTACCAGCTCTTCACAAGCACCTCAGTGCAGCTGATGGGCAGGCTTGCAAGTGGAGGGAGACTTCTGATGCCTCTTAAAAGGCACTGATGAGGGGGGTGGTGGTGGCACAAGCCTTTAGTCCCAGCATTTGGGAGGCAGAGGCAGGAAGATCTCTGTGAGGTCAAGGCCATCCTGGTCTACAGAGCAAGTTCTAGGACAGCCAGGGTTACACAGAGAAACCGATGTTGGGAGAAGGGGAGAGGAAGGCACTAAAAGACATCAGGGCCCCACCCTTTGACTCACTTCCTCATAGGCCCTTCTCCAAATATAGTCACAGTGGTAGTTAAGGCTTCAGGATAACTTCATGCACAGTACTGAGCCTGGTGATTAGGTCTGTTATCCAAGCTACTTTGGAGGCTGAGGAAGAAGGATCACAAGTTCAAGGCTTTTGTGGGTAACAGAGAGACTGTGTCTCTGTTATATGGGGTATAACTCAGTGGTAGAGCTTTGCCTATCATGAGTGAGGTCCTGCATTCAGTACACATTACTGTAGGGGGGAAAAGCATTTAGACTACAGCACTGTTCATCTATCTAGACCAGGCTGGCCTTGAACTCAGAGATCCTTCTGCTTCCTCTACCCTAAAAGTGTGTGTCACCAGGCCTAGCCACTTCTTTTCTCTGGTGGCAAGATACAGTGGTTTCCTTCTTAAGCATTAGCTTGTGTTGAGTGCATGCTTGTAGCTCATTCTCCATCTAGGCTCCTAGTTATCGGCCATCAGGTTGGTCTGTGGGCTTGTGAAGGATTGTCATGACTATTGATGTAGGAGGATCCAGCCCGTTGTGAGTGGTACTGTCTTCCTGGACAGGTGTTCCTAGGTGGTTATATAAGGAAGCCAGGTGAGCACTAGAGCAAGCCAGTGAGCAGCTTTTCTCCATGGTTCCTACAGGTTTTTGCTGTGACTCCCGTCAGTGATGGCCTGTGAAGTGGATATGTACGCCAAATAAATCTGTTCCTCTCTTGAGTGCTTTTGGTCAGTGCTTTTATCACAGCAGCAGAAAAGAAACTACTACCCAGTTCTTCCAGGCACTTGGCTGAAACTAGTTTATTATAGCTTCTCTCCAGACTATACTCCTGTTTGTGTTCTTTCCTCTTCCTCTGTTACTTGTTTTGTTTTTTGAGACAGATAAAATGTAGCCTTGACTGGACTGGAATTCACAGAGCTCTGCTTGTCTCTGCTAGTTTTGTTTGTTTGTTGAGACTGGCTCTCTATTGTGTAGCCCTGGCTGCCCTAGAATTCTCTCTGTAGACCAGGCTGACCTCAGAGACCCTGCCTCTGCCTCCTGGCTTCATGGGCTTTCATCCCCATGCCTAGCCTTCTTTGTAGTTTTATTTTAGAGACAGGAGTCTAACTGTAGCCCTGGCTGGCCTGGAACTCAGAGATCTAATTGCTGCTGCCTCCCGAGGGATGGGATTAAAGGCGTGTACCACCACCACCATGCCAGCTTGTTTTATTCCATTTCAAGTGTCAGAGTTTTGTTAGTTCAGTACCACTCATAGTCAGAAAATCTAGCTCCATTCTAGGGGAGTAACTAATGTTGTGTTTGCCTGGTTTTACTGTCTGGATGTTGCCCAAGGGGCTTTCCATGCTGGCTTTGGCCCCAAGAGGGCTGGGAGAACGTTTCAAAACTACAAGTAGAGAGAGGATTTTTTGTTTGTTTGTTCGTTCTTTTCTTTTTTCTTTCTTTCTTTTTTTCCTTTCTTTGTCTTTTTTCCGATTTTATTGAGCCATGGTCGGAATTGTGCACCTTCAAGACATTTGGGACTTGAAGTTGTCTTTGAGGATTATTACAATTCAATTCTGATGACTTTCTTTGGTACTGTACTGACCCTGTAGACTTTGTAGCTGTATACCCCAGCGCATACTTGCTCTTTTCTGTTAGGGACTGAAAAGTATCTTACTGTGCTGCTCTGTGTCCACCCATCCAGATGGACATGCTACAACTCTGTCTTGGTTATTTTGTCCTTACTCTCCCCTATCCTTAGATTGGTTCAGAAACACCATTGAGGGATGAAGGCACATCTTTGCCATAGAGCACTTAGCTAGAACAATGGCAGGCCCATGTGCAGTCTCTGACACTGAAGAAAAATGACAAGAAAGATTCTGAGTTTTTAGATGTCTTTAGGGTGAAAGTAGCATAGTTTTAGAGAAGTTTGGAAAATGAAAACCTGGCTTTTTTTTTTTTTTTTTTTTTTTTTTCCTTCCTTTTTCCTGTTGCATGTGACTGTTCTTAAGGAGTCTGTTTTTTGATTGTTGTTTTTTTGAGACGGGTTTCTCTGTATTTCTTTGGAGGTTGTCCTGGAACTTGCTCTGTAGACCAGGCTGGCCTCGAACTCCCTGAGATCTGCCTGCCTCTGCCTCTTGAGTGCTGGGAAGAGTCTGTTTTCTGTTCACTCAGATAGAGAAGGTGTTGATAAATGACCCCAACCATGTCTTAGCAGTGAGTTTACTGAGGTTTCCTCACTGGATCCTGGGTGACTCAGACAGCTGTATCAGTAGTCTTTTCCCAGCAGTGTTTACTGCTCATATACCTTCAGGGAAGGGAGGGGCCTCAGGAATTTCCTTCTTCCCCTCCCCGCCAGGAATGTCCTGAGGGTCTTGTGGAGCCTTGTGCAGGCAACTACAGTTGTTCAGATAATCACATCCAACAATTCCTTGGGTAGAACGAGTGTTTCTACTGCTTCACACATACATTGACTTTTTTATTTTATCAAATTAAGGCATCAGTGTTTTTCTCATATCAACTATGGAAATGGAACAAGAAAAGATGAATGTGAATAAGGAGTTGAGCTCTGATTCAGCCTCATACCACTGCTCAGCATGTCACGGGGATGAGACCTGGAGCTACAACCATCCCATCAGGGGCCGGGCCAAGTCTCGGAGCCTATCAGCCTCACCTGCCCTGGGCAGCACCAAGGAGTTCAGGTAGGACCAAGAGTATTCCTACTCCTCCATGCCATGGTGGGACATGTTAGGATTCTTGCAGAGGACACAGCCTGTATCAGTGTAGATCAGCATTGCTTAAGTGTGAGTTTTGTTCATAGGGTGGGGCTGGGCACTGCCCAAGTGGCGCTGACCTTAGCAGAGGAATCAAACACTGCCCACGAGACTGTGCTGGACACTTGTTACTAACTGGCATGTGCCAAATACAGGCTACATCATGTTTTTCTTTCTGCCTCAGAATAGAACCACCCAACCAGAACCCTGCTGACCTTTGGTTTAGCTGGTAGGAAAGCATGGTTGCACTCAGAGAAGAAAGGTGTGCCAGTGGGGCAGAGGTACCATTGTAACCTGGAGCCCTCAGCTCCTCGTACACAGGCCATGGGGTCTCATGTGCAGGTGGTGTGGCACTGCCTTCCTCTCCTGCGGCATAAAGCCTCGGGGGAAGGCCACCTGATAAGCATGGGGTTCCACTCACGTCAGGTGTCCTCACCCTTGGTTAAGTTTTAGATGGGAGCTTGCCAGAGGCTGACACTGACTGCAGAACAGGGTCACACCTGTGAAATGTGAAGACAGGCTCTCTAGTGAGGAGCCACTTTAAAACCATAGGGTCTTTTCTGTGAGATAGAATGATCTCACAGAGCTCCTACTTTGTTGCAGTGGAGGGACAAGGGGCGGCTTGAGGTTCTATGTAGAAAGTTCTCTCTGTGAGAGATGGCTGCGGTAGAGGCCAGATGGCTAGTACCTTTGCTCTGGGTACACAGCTGATCATGGCGTGTCCTCTATTGCCCCCGCCTTCACCACTCTGTTTGTACCCTGCCAGCTTCGAGCAGAATTGCCTTAGTTTCTGGTTTGTGTGTATTTTGGCATAACATATTTTTTTTTTGTTCCAGGGACATTGAACCTGTGAAAGTGACTGTAGGTCAGGGCAGCTTCTATAGCTGGTGGATGATGCCATGGGGCAGGATGGGGGACAAGCATGTCTGCCCCTGCAATCTGTCCTTCAAGGAGGATAGAGGGAGTGCCAGTGCTGACTCCAAATTTCCTGCCTGGTAGCCTTTAAGTTCCTACAAAAGTTGATATTTGTGATATTCTGTACAGCTTTTTAAAGGGTTATATAAATAACCCAGGCTTGGTGATTCGTACTTGTAATCTTAGCACTTAAAAGGCTGAGGCAGGAAGATCACAAGTTTAAGGCCAGCCTGGGCTATATTGGGAGGCCCTGTTTGAAAACAAAGAAAGAAAAGGGGAAAAGCGTTATGTAAAACCCCTAGCACTTGGCCCAGCGTTGGTGGCACATGCCTTTAGTCCTAGCACTGGGGAGGTAGTGGCAGGCGGATCTCTGTGAGTTCAAAGCCAGCCTGGTCTACAGAGCTAGTTCCAGGACAGGCTCCAAAACATCTCAAAAAACCAAACCAAAACAAAATAAAACAAAAAAACAAACAAAAAAACCTTAGCACTTGTTTAGTACAGAAAGGTCTTCAGCAGCCGATGGGCTCCCTGACCCTGATACTGCCCATCCCCCAGAAGCAGAGCTGTCTTTCATTGCATCATCAGGATCAGGAGGTTTTGTGGATTTGGAGACAGGGAGCTGAAGGGGAAAGCAAGTTTGAAGGCTGCTCTTGCTAACTCAGTGTTGTTCTCTTTGGGCTGTGAAGGGTTGGTGAGGACCCCCCTCCCCCAGAGACCTGAGTGGAATGTCCCAGGAAGAGCAGTCACAGTACTGTTTTGGTCTTTGTGCTGATCCCCCAGAAGCATAGGGGGCACTGACTGCTGCTGTCCTTTGCCGTGGCAGGCTGCAGTGAGCCTATGTTTGGATGCTCAACTGGCTGGGTCACTTTTCAGAAGGAGGGAAGTTTGCTGGGTTGCTCAATTAGTATCTCTGTTATAGACACATGTGCTCTAGAGCAAATATTTCTGCTAGAATGTTCATCTAGATTATCCAGGGTGGTGCCAGCTTTTGACTCCCGATTATAGCCCACAGACCTGCTGAGAGGTGCTGCCTTGAGTCCTAGGCTCACGCCAGGCCAGTGTTTTCCTGACTCTTACTAGACTTGTCCCTTCTTTGGTTCGGGATCAGTGTCCACAGGAGCCTGTCCAGGTCAGCTTCTATGTCTCATTATTGCCACAGGGGACCTGAGCAGTGAACACCCTAGACCAGGGCAGGACCTCCTGGGCCTGCCGTGTGAATGCTGTGGATGATGGCGCTAATGTCATTTGGGTTTCTTGGAGTTTGACAGGGCCTGACATAGCCCATGTCTGTTGCTGCCTGTCTCCTCCTACTTTGACAGTAACCCCCCCCCCCCCATGCTCTACAGGAGGACTCGCTCTCTCCATGGGCCGTGCCCAGTGACCACATTTGGACCAAAGGCGTGCGTGCTACAGAACCCCCAGACCATCATGTGAGTTTCCCAGACTTGGTAAGGGGTGAGGTGGGGGTGGTCTTTGGGAGTATTATGGGATTGCCCTGTGTAGGATTCTGAGTTGTTTAAAACAGAAGCCAAGCAGGTGTCTTTCAGAAGCCTGTGCTGAGAGACTCCTAAATGGAGATTCTCAACTGATGATTTCTCACATGGCTTCTGAAGGGAAACTTTCTGTTTTGTACACATCTGTAGTCTGGCACTGGGTTTGAGGCAGGAGGATCTCCATTTCCAAGCCTGAGGTGTTATGTTAGTAAGATGCCAGCCTTGGCCACAGAGTCAAACCCTGTCTGAAAAACAAAAACAAACAACCAGGGAGAAAGAGAAAAGCAGCGGGAACCTGAGGCCTGGAGCCGCCAGGGTGCCAGGCTCCTTACTGTGCCCGAGCTGCACAGGCTGAATGAGGCCAGTGTGAGATTCCTAGTTGTTCTTACAGCGAGAACTCCATTCTAGCACAGTGGTTTCTCCTTTCATTGTTCCAGAAGTAGAAATATGAATTTTCTTTCCTTTTCAATTGTTTTAGTTGCTTGAAAGATGTTTCTCCTTGTTGGTGTGTATGCTTGAAGGGGTAGGTTTGCCATGCTAGAGATGGAACACAGGCCTAACACACGCCAGTCGAGCGCTCTGCCACTGAGCTACATCTCATCCAGTGTGCTCCTCACAACTGTCACTGGCCAGGACAGCACCCTGAAATAGAAGCTCCCTGAGACCTCAGCAGTTAGTATATCTCGTTATCTCTGTCATCCCAAATTATGCTTTGCATTTGATATTTCCAAAATAGCAGATGTGTTGTCACTGTGTTCTGCACAGTATCTAGCTGTGTTTTCTCACAGGGTACCAAATTAAAAAAAAAAAAAAAAAAAAAAAAAAAATCCCTGAAGTGGGTTGATACTACTGCTATGTATTTTAAAAATTAAAATGTTAGTTGGGTAACGGTGGTGCATGCCTTTAATCCTGCAGAGGCAGGCAAATCTCTGAGTTCAATGTCAGCCTGTTCTACTGAGAAAAATCCAGGATAGCTAGAGCTACACAGAGAAACCCTGTCTCAAAAATTTTTTTAAAAATTAATAAATTAGAATTTTATTTCGTCACCTCTGTTTTTGTTTGGCCCTCACTGCCCCCATTCAGAGACCTTTGATATTTGTGCATCCAGAGTCTGTTCCAAGTCCTCCCTTTTCTTCAAAGTAGAAAGGGCCACTTGTGTGTCTGTCTAGGAGGTGTGCTTGGACTTGTCAGGAAAAAGATTGTCCTGAGTGTGTACAATGGAGAGATACATACCTCACGTCTGTTCCTGTTTCATAGGCAGGTGTCGTAGACAGGGCTAATGGTGTACAATGGGGCTGTGCCAGGACCGCCCTGATTTCCCCTCAGAACACACCTGCCTGGTTCTCAACCTTCCTGATGCTGAGACCCTTCCATACAGGTCCTTATGTTGTGCTGACCACAACCCTGAAATTATCTCATTGCCATTCATAACTAATTTTGCTGCTGTTATGAGTATCCAGTATGCGGAATATCTGACCCCCAAGAACATGCAGCCCCACCTGCAGGTGGAAGACCCATGCTCTACGCACCATTGCTTGCTCTGCCTCCTCCAGGCCATCCAAGAAGCTGCTTTTTAAACTTCACACTGCTGATTGCAGTGTTAGTGTGAGTCCCTTTGGAGGCGAAAACTCTCCAGTGCCTGTGTTCACAGAGCAGAATTATGGGTTCTTGCTGAAGACAAGGGTCCTGACATGTTGCATACTCCTTATCCAGCAATTATAACTACACCAACACCAAATGGTTTCCTAACATTTACTGTGACTTCATTGTCTGTCCCATGCAAGCTCCTCACCACCCAGAGCTCTAGGCACCCCCAGCTTCCTGCTCCTGGCCTGATGCCCACATGCCTGCCCACCGCCTCCCAGCGTCTTTTTGGGCTCCTGTGTTTGCCTAAGTACCAGCTGCTTGCAGCCCCTTCCTGCACAGCCTAACAGTTGCCACTTACTTAAGCCTCTCCAATAATCAGTTTTTGTTTGTTTGTAGTGTGTGTGTATGTGTGTGTATTGTGTGTGTGTGTTTATAGTGTGTGCGTTTGTGTGTGTGTTTGTATTGTATGTGTATGTATGTTTACTTGCACCATATGTATGCAGCTTTCTGTGGAGACCAGAAGAGGGTTTTGGACCCCCTGGAATTAGAGTTACAGGCAGTTGTAATACAAGATACTGGTGCTGGGAACCACACATGGGTCCTCTGCAAGAGCAGTATTGGCCATGGGCTGCCCTGGAACTTGCTCTGTAGACCAGTCTGGCCTCAAACTCAGAGTCAACTGTCTCAGTCTCCCAAGTGCTAGGATTAAAGGTGTGCACCACCACACCAGGGGAGCATTATGTACTCTTAACTGCTGAGCTATCTCTCCAGCCCCTCACAGCCAGTTTTACTTAGATATCAGTTGCTTAGACCAAGACACAAAGTGACCTTCAGGACATTCTTCGAGGTTAGGAAGTTCGGGTAGGGGCTGTGGGACTAGAGCACTGACCTGCTCTAGGCTCTATGTCACCCATGTCTCTGTAACCTCCCACATGTCAGTGTAGGGGCCCAGTATCTGTGTTACAAGAATGAGGGCTTTATACATTTCCCAAATATCCCCAGGGTAGATGGAGGGCTTGTCATGAGAAATTTCCTTACTTTGAGGATGTGTTTTCCTTATGGGGATGTGTGAGGCTGTGAACCTGTTAGTTGTATGGCACGGTGACAGTGGTCATGCTTTCCTGGCAGATCACTCAGACCTGGTTCTAACAGGTCATGGCCTGCCGGCTCCACACAGCACCTGAAGCTCAGACTGCCTAGAATGGCCAGCATTCCCCTTTCCACGACCCAACAGGAAGTTGAGGAACTGGTTTGTGGTCACAGGGAAGGCTTGGCATCTTGGCCTGTATATAAAAAATGCCGGTGGCATATGCTGAACCCTGCTGAGCTTTGGGACTGAAAGTCATAGCCTGGGCCTGCCTGGGGCAGCCATGACGCACACATGGGCAGGGCAGGCTGCTGGGTGGAGGGTGGGGACTTGGAGCCCTGATGGGGCAGAGGGTTGTGATCACTCACACACATTCTCTAGAGCCCAGAGCCTGGCAAGTTCAGGAAGTGATTGCCTTTCACCTGCAGCCCTTTCACCTGCAGGTGCCTGAGAATCCTCCCTTGGGGCGGGCCCTGCCATTTCTAAGCTCGCAGTTCCCCAAGTGGCCAGAACGCTGAGGCCTGCCAGAGAGAGGCCTGCTAGGCAGGTGGCCCTGCCACTCCACTAAGGCAGGGAGTCTGGGCTGGCCCTCTTTGCTCCTGAAGTTAAACTGGTGTTTTCCATTGTTAAAGTAGATGGTTAGGCAAAATGTTCATGTACTCAGAAGTAAGTCTGTATTTTGTTTAGTTTTTATAGTTTACAGAATACTTCTGTAGGATCTTTGACAAGTCTTTAATATCTTGCTTTCAGTTTTGAAGATAAACTGAAAATTAGACTCATAGTGTAATATCCATCTAGGAGCATGGTAGCCAGGCAGAGCTGTGTGTGTGTCTGCTAGTGAAGTAACCCTGAAATGCTGGGGACACGCCTACTGTCTCCTAGAAGGTGGAGGCAGCCTCAGGAGTTGTGAGCACTACAGGCAGGTGGTGAGGTGACAGGTGGCTATGAGCAGCCCCTCCCCTCCCAGAAATGCCAGAAACAGGTGAGTGCTGTGACCAGGGTTCCATGTCATTTTGTGACCTCTGTTTTAGTAGTGTTTTGAAACTTGGTAGTGGGTTCTTGTGGACTGCCAGGACATGGAGCCTTTCTTAACTGGGAAAATGTGTTGGACAAGGAAAATGGTGCTACAGAAACTGAGATTCACTGGGCTAAGCATGGTACCAGCTCACGCCTTTAATCCCAGCAATCGGGAGGCAAAGGCGGGTAGATCTCTATGAATTCGAGGCCAGCCTTATCTACATAATGAGTTAGTTCCAAGGCTCATAGTGAGAACCTGTCTCAATAAATAAATAAATGAATAAAGAAATAGTAATTAAGAGCCAGCTAAGTTTATGGCATAGAGAGGTAGGCCACACACCTTACGTGGACATCAAAGGAAACACATGTCCTAAAGGGTTCTGGGAGTGAAAACTGCACAGTAAATCCCAGGACAGAGTCCTCAAACCAGCTGTTGTATGTTTTATGTGGAACTGGTATCCTCAGTGGGCTGACAGCCGGCTTCGGCTTTCCCCTCTGCTGTTCCATAACATCTCTGTCCCCACCGGGGAGTGTCAGTAAGGAAATAAACATAGCATAGGTGATGTGGCCCATGAAGGTGATTACAGGTACAGTTGGTGAGCAGGGTACCCAAGGGGATATGGCCAGAGTCATGTGGACAGTGGCTGGGCAGAGGGGTCTTCAAGGATGGTTGCTCTGGGTCCATTGTGTTCTTGGCTCCAGGCTACAGGATGGCTGGTAGCCATCCCTCGTGGGATCCATTGGTGATTCTGTGTGCACAAGTTGGCAGTGTGTTTTAACTTGGTTTTGGTGTGTGGTTGTTTTTATTTTTCCAAATTGCATGCCTCTTTCCTCAAGGAAAAGATGACTGCTTGTATGAGTTCTCTTCTCTCCCCAAAGGCATATTCAGGACCCTGCAAGTCAGCGGTTGACATGGAACAAGTCTCCCAAGAGTGTGCTTGTCATCAAAAAGATCCGAGATGCTAGTCTACTGCAGCCCTTCAAAGAGCTCTGCATATACCTCATGGAGGTAAGGCAAACAGGGTAGGGCTATGCTCTCAGGGTGATGCGTCCTACTCAGGAGTTGGGAGGAGACTTGCCCAGGGTGGCAGAACAAAAGACTCATCAGGCCTCTTAAAACATTCTAAAAAATTCCTACTAGCACACGGTACCAGAGGCTGGGAAACTCAAGGTAGAAGAGCTGCATCTGGCGAGATCCTTGTTGTATGTCACTGTGTCACGTGTTTATGAGGAAACCGCCCATGTCCATGCCCACTTTTTGTTATTGTTGTTTTGGTTTTGGTTTGTTTGTTTGGTTTTGGTTTTTTTGTTTGGTTGGTTTTTTAAAGACAGGGTTTCTCTGTGTAGCCTTGACTGTCCTGGAACTCACTTTGTAGACCAGGCTGGCCTTAAATTCACAAAAAGAGATTGGTTTTAGCTTGTGATTCTGGAGATGCAAAGTCCAGGGGCCACCTCTGATGGCCATCTTCCCTGCAGAGCCCCAAGGGATAGGGCAGCATACGGCAAGAAGTAGTGTGTTCTTGTATGTGTGCAAGTATCTCCTGTCCTTTCCTTCTTCCTTTAAAATCAGAGTGCAGTGGTGTGGTTCCACCCTGATGGCTTTACTTAGTCACCCTCTCGGTGCCACTTCTGAACATGAGAAATTAAGTTGCTACATTCCCAACCCCTCAAAATCATGTTGCTTTTCAGTACATGACTTGGGGGACTCCCTCAAAACACATCCAAACCATGGTACAGCTGTCTGATTCCTGAGCCACTATGGTTAGAACGTGCCTATTTGGGAAAAGATGTCTATGATGCCATGAGCCACAGGGTTTCTGGCTATGTAACAATGAAGTGAGCAGGATGAAAATGGCTTGCTAGCTAAGAAAATGTTTTTTTCACCTGGCTGGACTGGTGAGGGCTGTGTGGGGCTCCCATGCGTGCTTTGCTTCCAGGAGAACAACATGATCGTGTATGTGGAAAAGAAAGTGCTGGAAGACCCTGCTATAGTGAGTGATGAAAACTTTGGACCAGTGAAGAAGAAATTCTGCACTTTCCGTGAAGGTGTGCTGTCTTGAGCTCTCTCAACTGGCAGAAGCCATTAGCTTTCTGGCCTTGTTGGCATCTGTATGCTTGGGCACTAGGGCGTTACATGACAGCAGTTCCCAAGGTTTGTGTCTGTTTTTTAGATTATGACGACATTTCCAACCAGATAGACTTCATCATATGCCTTGGAGGAGATGGCACCCTACTCTATGCCTCCTCACTTTTCCAGGTAAGGCTGTGTCTTGGGGTGTTGAGGTATTATTTGGGTACAGTATGAAGAGGTGTCTTCAGAGTGTACCCCTACCCTTCATCACACAGCTTCTTACCAGAAGGCCACAAGCTTCTTAGTTTTCTTACGCTAAGGCAGTGGTTCTCAACCTGTGGGTCGCAACCCCTTTGGGATCAAACAATTCCTTTTACAGGGGTTACCTAGGACTATTAGAAAACACAGACATTTACATACATTAAGATTTTTTTTTTCCAGTTTTTTGAGACAGGATTTTTCTATGGTTTTAGAAGCGGTCCTGGAACTAGCTCTTATAGACCAATCTGGAACTAAAGGCATGCACCACCACTGCCCGACTATACATTAAGATTTATAATAGTGGCAGAATTACAGTTATGAAGTAGCAATGAAAATAGTTTTATGGTTGGGGGGGGGGGCTCACCACAGCATGAGGAACTGTGTTCAAGGGTCACAGCCTTAGGAAGATTGAGAACTACCGCTCTAAGGAGGAGGAATTTTTTTCAGCCCAGTTATTAGCAGTAAAGCAAGTTTGTAAGTACCTAGTCTCTTAGGGTGAGATAAATAGACATCCTCTGACATTGTCGGGCGGGTGGATGAGGGAGAGTGTGGTGTGGGGAGACTCCCTGAAGGGTGGCCGCATGGTCACAGACCAGACAGTGGGCGGCAAGGGAGCATTGGAGCTTCATGGTCTCAACCCCAGCAAGGTAGGACCCAGCCCAATGATATGCCGGAAGAGGGAGCTAGGCAGCCTGTAGAGTGGGCTGTAAGTGGGTGGCACGGGCTTGGGTCCTCCTGGCAACATGTCATCCCTGCTTTGTAGCTCAAGTTTCTGTCCAAGGACTGCAGGCCCCATGTGTGTTTAGATGGGACCCAAGCCATCTCCATTTTTCTTCTTCTGCCAAATCTGCCTGCTTCTAGCCTAGGTATCTCCACAGTCACAGCCCTGTGTCTGGTACTGGCCAGATCTTTCCTGTGACCAGTGAGCTGGTCTGGTCTTGTTGCTCTGTCTCTTTTTGGCCCCTCCCACTTTTCTTCTTGTTTCCCTGGGAAACGGTGCCATCCTGCCCTAATCTGGCTCTTCCACCTCTTGCCTGGCCCGTGCCCACCCATCCCCAAGGCCCACAGCTATTGATAGTTTGTTGGATCCTGGGTAGCCAGCGATGCCATCTGGTCTCCTCACCCACAGGGCAGTGTGCCTCCCGTCATGGCCTTCCACCTTGGCTCCCTGGGCTTCCTGACCCCATTCAACTTTGAGAACTTCCAATCCCAAGTGAATCAGGTGATAGAGGGTAAGTTGGAATGTTCTGGATCTCACAAAAGAGCTCAGGATTTCCCTCCTTCTCGATTAGGTTTTGTTGTTGCTGTTTTGTTTTTCAATGGTTATTTTGTCTGCAAGTGTGTCTATACACATGTGCCCCTGGAGGTGTGGGATCCACTGGGACTGGAGTTACAGATGTTTCTGATCCATCGTGTGGGAGCTGGAAATTGAAACTGGGTCTTCTTTAAAAGCAGCCCGTGCTCTTAACCACTGAGCCATGTCTCCAGCCCCCCTGGTTATTGTTGCTTTTTAATACTTTTTATTTAGTGAAATAGTTTTAAGACTTGGGGATTTCTAAATACTCCTTACTAAAGTGGGAAAACTGGCAGCACATAGCTGCTCAGGGTGGCTTTGGTGGAAGGCACTGAAGGTCACTGACATAGGAACAGAAAGGGGAAGGGTCCCAGCTTCCTTGGAGGTGGCCCCAGCCTCCCTGAGCTGGATCCTGCTGACCCCAGGGAATGCCGCTGTTATCCTGAGGAGCCGGCTGAAGGTCAGGGTGGTGAAAGAGCTCAGAGACAAGAAGATAGCCATCCATAATGGCCTCAGTGAAAACGGCCTGGACACAGAGGGCGGAAAGCAGGCCATGCAATACCAGGTCTGTGGAGAAGTCCCCAGCTAACTAACCTCACCTCCCAAGGAGGGGATCAGGGTGGGATGAACTCGGGGCTGGAACTTCTGGTGAGCCTAAAGTGCTTATGGTAGTGCCGTGACCCTGAGTGCAGTGCCATGGCCTTGCCGTCTCTTCCAGGTCTTGAATGAAGTGGTGATTGACAGAGGCCCCTCCTCATACCTGTCGAACGTAGATGTCTACCTGGATGGACACCTTATCACCACTGTTCAGGGTGATGGAGTGATCGTGTCCACCCCGACGGGCAGCACAGCATATGCAGCTGCAGCCGGGGCTTCCATGGTCCACCCCAACGTGCCGGCCATCATGGTTACACCCATCTGCCCCCACTCGCTGTCATTCCGGCCCATCGTGGTCCCCGCAGGGGTCGAGCTGAAGGTCAGAGCAGTCTCCCTGTATCTCCTCTGGTCTGTGAGTCTTTTTGACCCTGAGCAGAAAGCAGCCGTCACTACCTCAGCACCTGCCACCTCCAAAAGGCCCCCTCCCCAGCACCCTTCCACGTGAGCTCCACCTGTCAGGTAGCTTTGCATACGCCCGTAGTCTCTGGTATCACAGGGAGCCAGCCGGCCCTCCATGAAGGGCTCATAGTTGCAAGACGTAGGGAGGGAATGGCATAAGTGTCCCCATATTCATTGATGAAAGGCCCCAGCTGGTGTCCTCCACAGAGCCTCAGACCTGGTCTGTGGCTGACCTCTGAGTGCCCAGCCTCGGCCTCATTTTTCTCTAATTTCTATCACAAGACACTCAGGCTAGCTTGATGCTACTATGAGTTCTAGTGGCCATACCTGTAGGAGGTAGCGACTATTCTTAGAGCATCAAAATGAGGCTAACGTTGTACCATGCAGGAACTCTGGAAGACCAGAGTGGGCTGGGAACACATCCTTCATGCCCAGAGCTCACTTTTGTTCCTGCTCCACCCGTTTAGATTATGCTGTCACCGGAAGCCAGGAACACTGCATGGGTGTCTTTTGATGGACGGAAGAGGCAGGAAATACGCCACGGAGACAGGTGTGGGGCTGCAATGCTGGGGCGTGGGCTGACCTTGTCTTCTGTCATGTGATGTCACTAGTGGGTGGCCTATTACAAAGCATGGTCATGTATAGGTGCCATAGGCTTGGAGCAAGGCCCTGTCCCTTGGTTCTTGTTACACACAGACAGGATTGGTCTCAGCCTAGATCTGGGTGAGTCGCCTCCAGCAAGCCTAGGTCCACAGTCAGCTATCCTCCTCTCACTGAAGTCTCAGAAACAGCAAGGTGTCTGACGTGGGCTAGCCCCCTCATCTTCCTGCGTGTGTGGGTCTGCTGCCCAGCAGTTAAGTGTGGCCTACCACGGGACTTAGGATGGGCCAGCAGAGCTGCTGTGGATTTCCCTGGTCATCCACCTGTGCCCACCCTGCCTTGCCTCAAGTTTCCTGGACCCTGGGAGTCAGTGACCTGGAGTCAGGCCACCGGTGCAATGAAAGTAGGGACAGGGCCTGGGTCTGGGTGCCCTAAGCACCTAAAGTGGCTGCTGGCATTTGGACAAAGTGAGGCCCTGGGAGAGGGCCTTGGCCTAGGGGTAGTAGTTTGTTACTTGAAAAGGCACCCAGCTTACCCAAATGTATTTCTCTTTCCCTTCAAAGCATCAGCATCACCACCTCCTGCTACCCGCTGCCCTCTATCTGTGTGTGTGACCCTGTGAGTGACTGGTTTGAGAGCCTTGCCCAGTGTCTGCACTGGAATGTTCGAAAGAAGCAAGCTCACTTCCCAGAGGATGAGGATGAGGACCAGGATGAGGACAGCTAGGCCTCACTTCCCAGCCTCCAACCTGAGCCCTCAAACCCTTGGGGGCCTTCCTTCTCTTGCTCTCCTGCTGGCTTTCTGGCTGACCTGGCCTTGACAAACCACATGGCTGTCAGGCATCTGTGTCCTGCCTGCCTTGCTGGGAGAGCTTGGGTCTGCCTTTTGAAGAACACATCAGCTTTTTAATATTTTTAAACCTTTTTCATTTCTAAAGAAGCAAAATAAGAGCTGGGCTGGGTGTCCTACGTCTCTCCCATGGGCCCTGAGATCCCAGGTCAGGAATTCCTATAAATCAGTCTGTTGAAATTCTGAGGGGGTCAAAATGAATTGACCTTCCCTTTGATATTTAAATAAAGGTCTCAGCCAGAAACCTTCCTTTAGCTTCCCCTGTACCTTCCCCCCTGCAGCTCTTGGGGTCACTGGGCAGCTTTGCTATGGATTGGCAAGGCCTATTACCGCTAGGTGCCTCCGAGTCTGGCCCAAGGCCTTTGACTCCTTCCAGAGAAGACAGAGGCAACACCTTGCACAGCCATCGGCAACATCACATTCCTCATATAGCAGGGCAGCAGCTCCTGAGACATTTTAAATCCTGTGTACACTTTTTAGAGGTTATTTTAAACTTGCTGAAGTGATTATGTACATATTTTCTTGTACACGCTTTGTGAAGATTTAGAGGGGGCTGCCTGTTGTCCAGTGTTTACATTGTGTCCAGCCCAGTGCAGACAGTCCAGGACCGGGCTCTGTGCCTCCAGTCTTCCCTTACACGATGGCCACAAGGGTTTTGAGACCAACTCACTAAACTCACTATTGATATCAGGCCTGCGGGCCCGCCCTCCTTCCTCAAGAGTCTTAGGTTTGCGTCTGAGCAGCAGCCATATGGAGCCCTGTGTGCAGATGTGTACATGACATAATAGCACACCCGTGGTGCCACACAGGCCCTGGAACCTTTGTGGTGTCGGTGGTCAGCCACGGTGCCTCAGTTAGGTCTCTGCATTCAGTTCTGTCCAAACCTGCAGCAGGAGCAGAAAGGGAGGACTGGCTTCCGGGGTAAAGTCAGGCTTCTGTCTCGTACTGCTCAAAAAGGCTTGCCAGCTGCTATAGGGCCGACCACACTGAGCTTTCTTCTGCTGGGTCCTTGTTGACACACATCAGTACCTATGGAGCCCTAAGTGGCCTGGCTTCAGTGCTGTTAAGCTGTGGTAGCTTGTTCCCAAGAGCTGTGCTGTTCATCTGTGATTGTGAGCACAGTAGGCCTCTGCTGTGATCCAGAGGAGAGCAGGGTCTGGAGCATGGGTCATGTGTCTAAAAAGCAAGAGTTGATAAGTAAGTCTAGAAGCAAGCTGCTACCAGATTGATCTAGAACACATGGAGTTTTCAAGTAAATTCTTAATGTTTCATATTAATATCTTAAAATTTGTTAATTGTTAATGAAGGCCTTATTACTATTTTCAGATTCTTTCAATAAATAAACTTGTTTAAAAAAAAAAAACCAAACAGGTTAGTAGCAGCTTTTTCTGTCTCTTTGTAACCAATTCGAAGTCTTGAGGTCATTCAGCATGGTCTCAGCCACATGAGATACCCTTGCCCTCACTGGGTTGGCCAAGTGCCCACCCTAAAGAAATAGGATCTCTGGGAGTTCCAGGACAGCCAATGCTACACAGAAACCCTGTCTCAAAAAAACAAACAAACAAAAATACATATAGCATAGTATCATAGGAGCTGGAAGCACAGCCACCTCTGTAAGCAGAAGCTTCTGTCCTGCCTGGTCATGCAGCCCTTTAGTCCCAAATAAATACACAGAGGTTTCTATTAATTATAACTTTCTGGCCGATGGCTCAGGCTTCTTATTTTGCTAGGCCGCTCTTAATTATTAACCCATTTCTATGAATCTGTGTATCTCTAGTTGGTCTTGGTTTCCAGTGATATCCCGGCTGCTTTATTCCTCAGCTTAGTGTCTCTGTCTACTCACGCTCTCTGTTCCTCTTCCCAGAATTCTCTTCATCTGGTAGCACCGTCTATACTTCCTGCCTGGCTACATCCTGCCTGTCCATTGGCCAAAGCAGCTTTGTACATCAATAAGAGACACATAATTACAGCATACGGAAGGACATAACCCATCATCTGCTCTTTTCGGTCTAAATAAAAAGGAGGGTTTTAACATAGTAAAATTATATATAACAAAAGAATTATCCATCAAAGAACTATAGTTAACAATATTTAGTCTGCTAACATTTGATAAAATTAAAAAAAATCTATCTTTGTGAGTCTAAAGTTTTATGTGTAACTTATCTTTTATCATAACTAAGGGAAACCATAACTATTTGTCTTCAATTCTAAAAAGATCCCAGAAGGATATTATATAAACTCTAGAATTGACAGCGACATCTTGCTGCCTGAACAGTCACCCAAAGTTCTGTAATGTTGGGGCATCCATTTTAAGCCTATAGGCCTAGAGTGTTGGGCAGACTTCTCAGTGAGGCAGGAAATCTGAAACTATTGACAGAATTTCTGGCAGACTCATCCACGAAGCAGGAACCCTGAAAGACTGTCCCGTTCTGTTTTAGCAAGTTCAGCAGTCACTTTGCTGTGGGTCCTGCATGTCCAATTTGTACAGCACAAAGTCAAACAGTCCAGACAAGAGCAGTAACTTGTCCAAACCACTAGTCTTGCCATATTGAAAGCAAACTCCATAAGGAGCTTCTGTGATGCCCATCTTCCTCTTGAAGTAATTGGTGTTGCCAGGAGCAAATGTGCTTCATTACTACGGGGGGGGGGGGGGGGGAGGGAACCTAATAAACCACTTTAAATGCCATATTCTGTAGGTCTTTGAAAGGTTTGAAGAATGCTTATCCATTTGAAATATATCTCTGAATCTAGAAAACCTAAGTTTTTACTATTATAGGTGACTATAATAAATTTGTATTTTAAGATTTATTATGTATATAGTGTTCTGCCTGCATGTATGCCTGCAGGCCAGAAGAAGGCACCAGATCTCATTATAGATATTTGTGAGCCACCATGTGAATGCTGGGAATTAAACTCAGGACCTTTGGAAGAGCATCCAGTACGCTTAACCTCTGGGTCATCTCTGCAGTCCCCTAAATTTGTATTTTTAAAATTATACACATTTTTTATTGTTTTTCTAGATAGGATTTCTCTGCAGCTTTGTAGACCAGGCTGGCCTCAAACTCAGAGATTTGCCTGCCTCTGCCTCCCTTGTGTTGGGATTAAAGAAAGGTGTGCACCACCACTGCCCTGTACATTACATTTTTAAATGAGCTGGATAAACACACTATCTAAACAAGAATAACAATATACATATGCAAAATTGAGCCTAAATTTTTATCAATAAAGCAAATTTCAAATCAATATATTCATTTCTATCTCATATTCCCTTTTTTTTTCCTCTAAAAAAGATTGCCTGTGATCATTAACTATTTGTAACCAACCTCATTTAAATGAAAAACATTTATAAACAATATTTGAGAATGTGGGCGTGGTTCTCTCCAAACTGCTTCCTGCTGTTTGGGGAAGTTGTCAGTCCCAAGGGGATCCTGAAAAAACCCAGAACCCTGGCCAAATCCTGGCTGTAGTAGTCTCAGTGGCTACATCATGTCAGCTGTTTTGGATGTTGGATCACCTGGGCTACTGCTTCAGGGGGTCTTGCTTAATTAAACCATATTAATCTGGAAGGAATCCACAGCTTTTCATCTTCTGTGGAAACAAAAGCAGAACCTCTTTTCCAAAGTAACATGTCCTTAGATTTAAAATTTGGAGTCAAGGCGTTTTATGTGTGTGTGTGTGTGTGTGTGTGTGTGTGTGTGTGTGTGTGTTGGTTTAATCCAGTAGCATTTATAATCAAATGTCTTTTAGCAGCTGTTGTTCCTTCCTCAGCAATCAAATAATTTATAGACAACACAATAACATACAGTAACATACAGTATCTAGACTGTGTGTTTTCCATCTTTATATGGCCTCTTTTTGTTTTGTTTTGTTGCTTTTGGAGACAGGGTTTCTCTGTGTAGCTTTGGAGCCTGTCCTGTAACTCACTCTGTAGACCAGGCTGGCCTGGAACTCACAGAGATCCACCTGCCTCTGCCTCCCGAGTGCTGGGACTAAAGGTGTGTGCCACCAACACCTGGTGACTAATTTCTTTTACTTTTATTCATTTTGTTTTGTTTGAGACAAGGTTTCTCTGTGTAACTTTGGCTGCCCTTGAACTCTGTATAGCAGGCTGGCCTTGAAATCACAGAGATCCACTTGTCTCTGCCTCCCTAGTAAAGGGATTAAAGGCATGATTTATTATGTTTATAGCGTTCTGCCTATGTGTATGGCTGCAGGCCAGAAGAGGGCACCAGATCTCATAGTTGGTTGTGAGCCACCATATGGTTGCTGGGAATTGAACTCAGGAACCTCTGGAAGAGCAGCCAGTGCTCTTAACCTCTGAGCCATCTCTCCAGCCACTCCTTTTTCTTTTCTCTCCCAAGTCTACTCTATTTTTAAACACATTGGAAACCCTTTAGAGGTTTGTTTTGTTTTTTCATCTGTATATCTCTTTTTCATCTGTATATCTCTTTTTCTGACCATGAATCTTTAATCTGCTAAACTGCATGGCTAGGATTAAAGCAGAGGTCGTGGCTGCTAGCTCCAACCAGTTAGGCTTTCCAACTTGGCAGGGGTGTGTTTACTTCCAGGTCTGGGAGCTGCGCTCACCAGGCCTTGATTCCGGTCTAAGCCGACATCAAACAGCTTGTAGCACACTGCCTATACACTTTTTTCCTCTGTATAAGTAAAAGCTAAATCTGCCATGCAGCATGCTGTGCAGTTTGGAGATGGCCTCTGTGTGCCTCAGCGGGAATCTGCCATGCTGTGCTCAAGCCCGCCCGGAATGCCATACATCCACCTCTGCACTATGGCCTGCATCAGACTGAGATTAGGAAGCCAGAGCAGCTCCGTTTCTGTGCTTTCAGAACACTTTTCAAGCTTTTGTCAGGTTTTACTTGGAAATTCTTTCCAAACATTTGGGCACCATATGTGGACAGAAGTTTCTGTCCCACCCTGAGCCATCCGTCAAACGTTTATAATTAATAGAAGCCTCTATGTATTTATTTGGGGCTAAAGGGCTGCGGCGACTGGCAGGACAGAAACTTCCATGAACACACCTCTGTAAAGAGAAGCCATCAACAGC